TATGAAGACGACTCAGTAAACAGTCATACTGAAGTTATTACAGCAATCAAAACTATAAGGGGTCATAAAATTTTATCGCCGTGACATACGTAACTGGAGTTTCAACCGATCACACGCACGTCTCGCCGAGTAATAACAGTAAGTTAACAGCTCTCTCACAACGATGTGTTTATATATAATTAATCAATCGATATAGTTATTTTATTTACTCAATACAAGTGTTACATTGATTACAGATATAGCTCTACAATATCTACCTATATCATGAATTTACATCTAAGTAAATATTTAGTTTACCTTCGTGAAAAGATGGAGATATTTTAAAAACATATAGATTTGTAGATTGGTTTCGAAACTTATAAATTGTTAAATAAATGACTGATAGCAAATGCGAGCAGTCATATTTCAAATTGATTAGATTTATCAGTACGTAGGATTTTGTGATAAAATGGGGGAGTACGTCACAGTAATAGAAGCAGATGGCGTAATTGCAGTAGGTATATCCGGTAATCCAAGAAATAGTATGAGGGGATCAAATCCCTCAATGACTCATAATATCATCCCCACAGTAACTCCCGCTGCAGTGACGTACCTACCTACGAGTAGTTAATTTGATTAATAAAGAAAGAGACGGAGGAAGGATGTCTCAGTTTTTATTTAAAATAAATTAACCTTTAAATAATAAATAACTGGCCCACTTTAGTTGATGTTACTATGCCAATGGTTATTAATTTGTATTATGTATTTACAATTAAACTGACTTTTAACCACATTTTTATGTCTCAATTAAATTGGTTTGCAGATAACAGTTCGGTATTGTATATTAATATCACATAAGTTAATATGTTTAATAAGTATTATAGGATGGTTGGATTAAAAGCATGGTTTTAGACAAATATTGAAGTAAGAGGAGACGGTAGATTCGGTTTTTGAGTATGTTATAAATTATTTGAACAAAAACATCAATTTTCCAGTCTTAATGAGCCTGCACCTTGTTTGGAGACGCTATAGCATGTCCACATTTGAAAATATTTTGAAATGCATAACCCAGAATTCAGACAACAATTTTAAATTTACCTTCCTATATATAGATTGATCTGATGAGATTCGATCTCATGTCTCTCTACTATCTAGATTATGTTTTAATTACATCTCGGAAGGAATATCAGTTGGAAAATACTATTATTTGGAAATCTTTTTACCAATTTTTAAGGTTTCGTGCCAAAAAAAAATGAAAAAACCCTTATGGTGCGACTTTTTCATCTACGAGGTCTGTCCGGAAAGTTCGTATAAAAGTGTTCTGGAATGCGAGAAAGAGGAGTGGGGAGGCCAGGTAAGCGCAGGACCCCTTCCTTATGTCCCTAACAATGCTTCAGTTCTGGTCTGACCGCCGTGCGGTGCGAACTGGCTTGTCACGCCATCTGTGAAGTTACCTCTTAACGAAACCCCGTCGGCATGGAGCCCGCTTCCGTTGAAGAGCAGCGCGTCGTAATCAAGTTTCTCTCGAAACTCGGCAAGAATGGCCGTGAAATTTTTGCCGATCTCAGAACAGTTTATGGGGATGATGCTGTGAAGGAACCAACCGTCCACAAGTGGCTAAAAAGATTCAGAGAGGGCCGAGAAAGCGTTCAAGATGACCCACGTTCAGGACGTCCTTCCACTTCACATTCCGACGAAAACGTGGAAAGAATTCGAACTTGTGTTAATGGGGACCGTCGTTTAACGGTCAGACAGGTGGCTGAAGAGCTTAATTTGGGCAAAACCGTGGTCCACGAAATTCTAAGAAACGAACTTCAAATGAAAAAAATTTGCGCCAAGATCGTTCCGTGAGTTTTTGAGTAAAAATTCCATTACGGTGACCGAACACCCCCCCTATTCGCCGGATTTGGCCCCGTGTGACTTCTTCTTGTTCCCAAAAACCAAATTGGTACTTCGGGGGCGGCATTTGGGGGACATAAATGAGATAAAAAAAGCTACGACGGGGCAGCTGAGAAACCTACAACCAGAGGACTTTCAAGGAGCCTTCTCACAGTGGAAACGGCGTTGGCACAAGTGCATTATGTCACAGGGGGAGTACTTTGAAGGGGATAAAATTGATTTACCTGAATAATTGTAAAATAAAATTTTTAAAAAACTTTTATACGTACTTTCCGGACAAACCTCGTATAGCGTTAAATCTCGTCAACTATTAACTGTCAATTCGAAATTTGCAATAGTTTTACATATCATTGGGCCGCATATGTTGCAGTGGAAATAATGGAAAACATATTATTATTTTCTATGCCAGGGGAGTCCAAAATTAATACTAAAAATTTTATAATTGTGGGATATCATATATACGGGCTTTATTTGTACATTTTAAAAGTGATTTTTATTTATTTTTATGCTGTGTGATTTTTTAGTTATGCCCGAAAAAGGTTGAACAAAGGTATTACCACCTTATCTCCAAAGTTTCTGAAGCGAAAAATTTTAAATACTGTCAGTTTATAAAGGTAAATGTGCATTTTGGATTATACACATATAGTGTTACTATACAAATGCTTCGCCAAAAATAGGTCAGCTTTTTTTATCTTCTTGAATAGGGTTGCCATAATATATGTTTATTATTTAATATATGGGAGAAATTGCATTATAAGATTAAAATGAAAAATAAAAACGATACGGAATTATTAAGAATATATTTGAAAGAACAAGGTAACCAGTGCATAAAAATTGATGATGCTTATCTTTACTGATTACTTTGATTTGCCCGTGTGGTCCCGGCATAGAATAAGCCACCCCTTCCTTTACGTGGGTGTCGTAAGAGGCGATTACGGGAGAGCGACGTATGGACAGCAGCGTCCCTTTTATAACATCTCTCAAGCCTAACTGCGGCTTTCAATCCATCTGCCAAGCGTGGCAACTACTGGCAAAACCTTCCAAGGGGGAGGATTATGTTAAGGGCTGATATGATGATGATGACTTTCATTTATATTCAAGTATGCACGTAAAATAAATTTTCGTTTTAAAATTGTTAATAATAGCCGCCTTTTTATTTATTACTTTGTAAGTAATACGTACATATGCATATTTATATTATATAAGAAAAAGTTTCCAAATGAAATTTAAGAAATCGATCTTTTCTGGGAAATTTTTAAGCCCATTACTTGCAACACTGAAGAAATAGGCGCATTTAAATAAATGTGTCGAATTGAATCAGCCAAATGTTAATTTTCTGCCATATTTTCCGACACTCGATGCTCTATCTATATAATCTAAGATGTGAATATTACAAGAAAAAAAAAACTAAGTTTCTAACTAAAGAAAAAAAATAAAAACTAGTATTGCTTTTGAGAAATTATTAAAAAAAATCTCCAAAAACAAATCACTATGTTGTATGGAAATAGCTTAAATAAACGACCCGTTACATATCCGTTAATTGCTAATCGTTTTAACTGCATCAGCAGCAGACTAAGCTTATCAACCAATATCGAAATGTGGGCTTTAGAGTGCAAATATTGAATATATATATAACGATAAGTACCTACTCATACCCACCCATGGTATATTGTCTATAATAGTAATAGAAAAATATGTAATGTTGGTTTGGAAACGAATTACAAACATTGTATTATTGTAATTATTTTCATAAAAACTTTTCTGTTGTAAGAAAAACCAATTTAATAAATGTACAAAAAACGGACGAATAGAGAAATCCATGTTATTTGCTTCGAACAAAATAGAGCATTACAAGAAATAAGGGAAAGTTGAATAGTGATAGTAGCAGGGCACCACAGGGTGGAGAGGATTATAGGAACGTAACAAGTTCCGAAACAAATGGAGTTTATTATTTGTAAAGTCTATGATATTAGATATAACACGACATGGCACGGTATTGCGCGCTTGTTGCCCATAGCCTCTGCGTGATTACTTCACCTAACCCAGTTTGTCAACGTTTGGTACACACACTGCACGTCTGTTCCTATCTGCCGACAGATAGTCATCGCACTTTGTTGTCTAACATGGTATAAAAGAGTCTATATAAGGTCAAAACATGTTGGCGACTTGGTTTTTTTTTTTTGTATTATGAAAAATATTTTACCTTTTTATATGTTCTAAAAAAGAATTGACTAGAGCCAGAGATCAAATTTACTTTATAGAGTTTTATTTGAAATATTTAATCTTACAACTTATTTATTTTTTCTATAAAATATTTATGTCAATAGATCACTATTACACAATTACAATTAATATAAGGCCAACATGATGGTAAACCCATCTATTGACCCATAGAGAAAAATATTTTTCTTTTGACTAAAACAGTAGGATTTTCTGCGTAAAGTAGCCCATTAAATTTTACCATAAATTTTATCACACACATTATCATTATTCTATTATATATCGTAATATTTATAAACTTTTTTTTCGTCAGAATTTGTGTCAATCATTCAGAATACTTGAATATGACGACGTCTTGATAACTATCTCGATTCTCAGTTATTTCCGTTGCAGGCTGGTTTATGATTTCATTGTAAAGATGAGGTTCGAGATAGTTAAAATATAGGTAGAGGTAGGTATATACCAGTGAAGTAGTTTTTTATTGTTCTATTGGTTCTGTTTACATCTAGGTTCTGAATTTCCATGTTTACTATCTATATTACAAATGTGTTTAATAATAATAATGAATATGACCGTGATACATTTACGGTGTATATAATTCACGAACCGTTTATGATTTCCTTGATAGTTTCTCAATCAATTCAAGTCCGAATGGTCTATCATTTCGTAAATGTTATTCAATATATTTATATCTCCAAAAACACTTAATATTGTATTACTGTATTTAGAACTAGGAGTTTGTTATTGGTACCTAACCTAGTTCTAGATACTTACATTAATATTAATATTAAGTTTTTTACAGCTAAGGGTTAGTAATTAGCCCAAACTGCTCTATTACAACATCACTGAATATGCCTCGGTTTTTATACACTTAGCAGCTGCACCGTACACCTCGTGCTCACCTGTTATGCACTATCCAAAAAATGTAGGTATGGGTATCGTTGGACCATGTAGGCGAGCTACAGTTATCGGTCGGGCAAGATTCGTTTAGAAAGCACAGATCGAAGGCGCACAGGCACTGGCGACCGGCACTCGACCGGCCTCGCACACGAGGTGAACCGGCTTCTACAACAATACACTATTTATTTGTACACAAAACTGATGACACAATCACTGTCGGTAATCACCATACGCATCCATGTAACAATTCTTGAAAATTTTCACAAACAAAAACTTCAACAGTCACTCGCGATGTGAGTTAATTTCGAACGAATGTAAGTTACGGTGTGCGGGGAACGAAGCGTGTATCGCGCAACACACGAAGCGCCGCTGACTGCCAACGGCTGACTGGCTGGACTGCAATGGTGAGCTGTAGGAAGACCGGTTGGCGCGCCGGGAGCCGCAGGGCGTGCGGGGCGCGGGGCGCGGGGCGCGGGGCGCGGCGCCGCTTGCGGCGAGGGGTGCTCTCTCCGCAGCTTGCCCTATAAACTTGCTTTCTGCCTGCTCTCATGTCGTGAGTAGGCTGGCTGGCTGGTTTCGTGCACTTTTGTGAAAGGCAAATTATTTGCATCGCGGCGTTGCGTCTCCACCGTGCGCCAGGCATGCATGTATGCCAGACTTGTACCTGGTCATTTAAATGCACCATTCATAGATCCAAGATGTTTACTGCTAATGTGTGTATATCTATACTGTAGTATCTATTTAAAAGATACAGCGGCTATCATAAAAACATATAAATATGGAGAAAAAGCTTTGTATGTTATAATTTTTTTTACAATTTTTTACAAATGTAATGAACTTCAATAAGTCGTACCTATTCAGATGTAGATATTTATGGAAATATTTCTGTTATCAGAGATGTAGAATCAACCTAATTCAAGGATGCTGAACTATCAGTATGTTTATACTTATATAAATCGAATATCATTCATATTCGATTTTTAAAGTTTTTTAAACAGAAGTTGAATGGCCGAATGAGAGGTGGTGCCCACGCAGCATTGATGCCCTTTCGCTGTTAAACTGTTTATATGCACCTACCTATGGTCAGCACCTACCTACAGCTGTGTGTGTGTATGTGTGGGTGAAATTGTACATTTAATAGTGTCGAAATATCGGCTTTTCTTTCGCAAGAGAAAAGAGAACAAGCGTATGTAAGTACTTCTTTACTTTTTTATTATAAATTTTATGTACTCTTATTTTTATTGCAAAAACAAAAATAAAACAATACGAGTATAGCAAAGAAACAACAAAGGTAATAATAATAATAATAAAAACATACGTGCGACTAAAGTTATTGCGTAACATAGGGCGTGTAGTTAATAGCTAACAAGCGATTTCTTGCAGACGACTCAGTTAAAGGATACAATTTTCTTAGTCCGGAACTATGATAAATAAAAGAGATTAAATGGATTCGAAAATATTATATTTTCTGAAAACTGGTGACTTAGCCATGTGTGGTGGTGGTATCTTCAAGCGAGGCAGATTAAAAGCACTTGTTCTTATGGTAGATACTTTGCAATTATAGACAAACTCTATACAGGGTTCTGAATTTTTTAGTAAGTACCAGTTACCTACGTTGTAATTTTTTTCAACACGAAAAAGTAATGTTGATATCAGCCGATAACTGTCCACTGCTGAACATAGGCCTTCCCCACAAGGGTTTTGGCATTAGTAACCACGCTTGTTGCACACAAAACAGCAATGAACTTTACTAATTGCATCTCTTATTTGGTTTTTGTGATTTTGATGGCCTGTAACAAATAAAAAGTAGAGACACAAATAATATCTTTTATTTACATTTTATTTTTCTGATTTGTATAATATATTTGTACTCACCGCTATTATTTTTTTTATGTAATTTTTAATATCTAGTTGCTTTTAAGAAATCGACTCGTGGAACGCAAGAAACTAATCGAACCATTTATTAAAATCATTGGTTTCGACATGTACTTATGTTACAAGCTGACATGAATATCGGAAAAGGTTTTACAGGCTACTATCTATTACAAGTCAGTGTGCGCTTCGTATTTTACCTCAAGATAGATAACTATTTACCAGTTGGGGGCTAGATTTAATCAAAGGAATTAAATATCTCGGGTTAGAAAATAAAATGTATCATTTTAGAATACGAAGATAGGAACGTCGGCTGATAAAAAAGAGTGGAAGAGGAAAAGCAATCTGCACCGATTTTGAATAATGGGATAAAGGCAAATGACTAACAATAATCACTTCAATATGCTCAAGTTGTTTGCATATAGGGAATAGTTTCTGGAGTTCCTGAACCTATTATAAGAGCTCATTCACTAACAGAAAACTACTCTAAGTAATCTACTCGAACACCAAATTTTATGTTGATTTTTATGTTTGTTTAAATCTGAGAACGCATAATATTTATTTACTTTATTGCATTTTCTGATAAATCGAATTGTCGTCGCTATACGAAGTCACTATGACGATGATACGGATCAATGCCTTTTTGAACCGCGCTAAATTTGATACCGAGCAGTGACGGTGCTTATAAGGGACCGTCAAAAAGTCAGATGACTAAATCGACTTTATTTGATTACGTTCGCTTTTAGTGATCGAATTCACTTATTGACAATATTGAAATTTGCTGAAGAGGTACTGCATTTTAATCAAAAATGAATTTAAGTCGTTGATGAAATGGAATCGTTAATTTATCGTATAAACGATAGAGACATGATAATAATGGGTTTGCTGACCATTCATTCAAATTAAAATTACTGGTACATTGTTCTATGAAAGTAGTACGATGATTCATACTGTATACGTACGTGTGGGATGTTCTGCTTCTCGTGAAATATCCGCACGTGTAGGGTTCTTGCGGAGTAGGGCGTCCCGCGGAGCATGCACGGCACGACTCTGCACAGGCGACAGTTTTATTCCGAAGGAAAATTTATTGCTTTTATGATCCCCTCGAGATACACAGAATTGGATAATCTGCTCCCCCTCAAGAATTTTCGTGTTTCATTACTCGGTCCAATCGTTTCTGTCTGTGCGTTTCGTTTAGTTTGTAATTTTATTGTGTAGAGGTACTTCTTACCTTACCTTGTGGAATAGAATCCGCGTCGGGATGCACAGTTTAATTTACGTTTGTATAGAATTAATGAAATACAACAAAAATTCGACGTCTCACAAATAAGAAACTGAATAGATAGATTTTTATTCCTCCGTCATCAATTCAGTAATCCATAGTAGTTGGAGACTAAGGCAAGTTGGAAGGTTGTGTCGAATGGTATTAGTGGAGTGGCGGGTGACGTGGTTGCTAGGCTGTGGATAGCTACAGGCGCAGAATACCTAATAATACTACGCGGCTGCTACTAGCCAGCAAACGAGAGCGCCAATTAGACAGATGGTGAGCGCCGGTTTGTGGTCGAACAAATTATGGCGCAAACTCTAGACCGGTCCGCCTTGTATCCCAGGAACGTATTCATTGCTCATAAATGAAGCAATTGGGTGTCGCTGTAATTAACGGATTACTTGTACGAAATGTCAGCTTGTTTATCACTGTAAGTTGCATAAATAATAAAAACATGATGCGAAATTCTAGGTTGTGCCCTGAGATGTTCGTTACCTGCTTTCTCATATCACGGGGCATCCTAGTTAGAGGACTGACGTGATGGGAGTGATTGTGTTGTTATTATTAATTCTAACCTAAATAATTTATAAACTTTTTTTATTGTTAGGGAGGCAAAAAATAAAATGTTGTTTACAAAACTTGGAAAAAAGGAAATTTACTAGAGGGTCTCTAGAGTACATATGTAGCAGTATAAAACTTTATCAGATTCCATGCCGCAGACCACATGTGTGAGAATCTTAAAAAAATCACGAGTTATTTATTTTTAACATCTCTCTTTATTATATTTTTAAATTTCATTTTTTTTTCTTTTTTTTCGTTTTTTTTGTCAGCCATATTTTCTTAGTATTAATTATTTTTGCTATGCTATTTATATGTATGTAATCACGTTTCTAAACATTGTAATTCACATATATATGTACATGTGTGTCAATATTATTGTCTTATAACATATAGTGATATAGTATCCTTTAGGTTAGCGTGTTGTGGTTTGGTAGGCGACGGGTCACGGCATCTGGTTTTGGATAATTGGACGAGAGAGCAAGCTTCATTGGTTTACAGCAACTTGCAAACTATGCGACACGCTTCTTCATTATATAGTTAAGAGATTTTATCTTCATGTTTAAATAATAATTTAGAATATGTTAATTGTATTTTAATTGTAAAAAATGACATTTATTATTTTTAAAAATACTCGACTAGTTTTAGGACCGTTACAATTACAAGCGTTACAACAATTACAGGTATATTAATAATACCTGTAACGTGTTCGGTGAAATGGTAATCTATGATTTTTTTTTTAATTTCAATAATTTCAGAAGATTGAGTTCGATTTATAAAATTTCATTTAAATCGGTTTAGCGATTTAGAAGATTAGTGTAGACGAACAACTCGACATGAGAGTTTTATATAATAAAATTTACCTACTCCGTTTTACATAATTCGAGCAACCATGACATATCACGGAAAAGGTATTTTGAAACTGGTTTGAAGTGAAAGAGCGATTTCAGCATAATAATACGTCAGTTGTAATAAATCGTTCCTACACATTTTTATTGGACCACAATCAACGACAAGAGAGTATAGAGGTGACCATCTATCAAATAGTAACTGTATTTGGAAAGTCTTTAATGTTCACCGAAAACGTATTCGCCATATTTGATATATATTTTGGTATTTGCACGGAACAGGAAGATATAAATAGTGTTAGAAGGGACGATGAAAGTAGTGGAGATATACTAACAAACAATATTTTTTAAGAGTAATATATTGATGCCGCCGTTAGCGAACAATTACCTGCTTAAATATCTTTGGGCATGGTCATTCTGCATAATTATTATAATATGCTAATGAATTAGTACATACAAAAAATAAGTTAAATTTGGCGCGAAAATTTTAAAGTTTACATGCACATTTATCATCTTTATTATCTGGCAAAATATTGACATATTTATTTGTATACCGTTCGTCTGTTACACGATGTCTCGACGAGAAATAATAGCTGATTGTTTTGCCGCTACATCTTTTTACGATGTAAGTATTGCATTTTGTTTGAAACAATAATATCGTTACTATGTTTCTATGGCCGAGAGTATTGTACACATACTCGTAATTTAATGTTATGTCTTTGGAATATTTTTATATGCATATTTACTAAATACCGTACGAAAACACAAATACAATTTATCGATATTGTTACTGAGTAAACATTATCATTATAGAAACAGTTTTATAAATAGGTTTAACGCCAAAGACAAATACTAGCTCAGT